GTATTTGATTACTAAATCATTCTACAATATGTATGTCCCTGTATCAATGCGTAGCTGGAAATCATTCACCAGCGTTGATTACTTCCTTATGTAATTCTACGCGTCATGCTCCTATGTTTCCTGGTATACCTGTATTTATAGTGTTATTCTTTGGAAGGTAACACTCTAAGTTTATCACGTCAGCGCCATAGACTGACTGTGTAGCATCCGTATGTTATGCATACATTTTATAGGAGAATAACAAGTTTATGTTACAGGAAAAGATTAACAGGTATGCCTTCTGTTACATTCATGTAAATATACTATTTATACAGCAATGTACACACGCTTTTGTGATAATATACCCTGTCTATAGGTCAGACACATGTCTGTGTGTGATGCAGTAACTGCTAATATATATTGTATATAGGTCAGACACATGTCTGTGTGATACAGTATCTGTTAATATACCCTGTCTATAGGTCAGACACATGTCTGGGTGTGATACAGTAACTGTTGATATAACCTGTCTATAGGTCATATTTACGTACTTAACGATGATATAACAGTGTATACTACACATAAATCAAGTACTTAACGATGATATAACAGTATATACTACACATAAATCACGTACTTAACACTGATATAACAGTATATACTACACATAAATCACGTACTTAACGATGATATAACAGTTGATACTACACAGAACTCACGTACTTAACGATGAAACCACAGTGTATTCTACACATATATCACGTACTTAGCGATGATATAACAGTTGTTACTACACATGAATCACGTACTTAACTATGATATAACAGTTGATACTACACATATATCACGTACTTAGCGATGATATAACAGTTGTTACTACACATAAATCACGTAATTAACGATGATATTACAGTTGATACTACACATAAATCAACTACTTAACGATTATATAACAGTTGATACTACACATAAATCACGTACTGAACGATGATATAACAGCTGATACTATACATAAATCACGTACTTAGCGATGATAAAACAGTTGATACTATAAATAAATCACGTACTTAACGATGATATAACAGTTGATACTATACATAAATCACGTACTTAGCGATGATATAACAGTTGATACTACACAGAACTCACGTACTTAACGATGATATAACAGTTGATACTACACAAAAATCAACTACTTAACGATGATATAACAGTTGATACTACACATATATCACGTACTTAGCGATGATATAACAGTTGATACTACAGAGAACTCACGTACTTAACGATTATACCACAGTGTATTCTACACATAAATCACGTACTTAACGATGATATAACAGTTGATAATATACATATATCACGTACTTAGCGATGCTATAACAGTTGTTACTACACATAAATCACGTAAATAACGATGATATAACAGTTGATACTACACATAAATCACGTACTTAACGATGATATAACAGTTGATACTACACATAAATCACGTACTTAACGATGATATAACAGTTGATACTACACATAAATCACGTACTTAACGATGATATAACAGTTGATACTACACATAAATCACGTACTTAGCGATGATATAACAGTTGATACTACACAGAACTCACGTACTTAACGATGATATAACAGTTGATACTACACATATATCACGTACTTAGCGATGATATAACAGTTGTTACTACACATGAATCACGTACTTAACGATGATATAACAGTTGATACTACACATATATCTCATACTTAGCGATGATATAACAGTTGATACTACAGAGAACTCACGTACTTAACGATGATATAACAGTGATGATATAACAGTTGATACTACAGACAACTCACGTACTTAACGATGATACCACAGTGTATTCTACACATATATCACGTACTTAGCGAAGATATAACAGTTGTTACTACACAGAACTCCCATACTTAACGATGATATAACAGTTGTTACTACACAGAACTCACATACTTATCGATGATATAACAGTTGATACTACAGAGAACTCACGTACTTAACGATTATACCACAGTGTATTCTACACATATATCACGTACTTAGCGATGATATAACAGTTGTTACTACATATACATCACGTACTTAACGATGATATAACAGTTGATACTACACATAAATCACGTACTTAGCGATGATATAGCAGTTGTTACTACATATATATCACGTACTTACCGATGCTATAACAGTTGTTACTACACATAAATCAACTAGTTAACGATGATATAACAGTTGATAGCACACATACATCACTTACTTAACGATGATATAACAGTTGATATTACACATACATCACGTACTTAACGATAATATAACAGTTGATACTACACATAAATCACGTACTAAACCATGATACCACAGTTGATAAAACACATAAATCACGTACTTAACGATGATATAACAGCTGATACTATACAGAACTCACGTACTTAACGATGATATAACAGTTGATACTACACATATATCAAGTACTTAGCGATGATAAAACAGTTATTACTACACATGAATCACGTATTTAACGACGATATAACAGTTGATAAAACACATAATCTCGTACTTAACGATAACACCACAGTGTATACTACACATACATCACTTACTTAGCCATGGTATAACAGTTGATACTACGCAGAACTCACGTACTTAACGATGATATAACAGTTGATACTACATATACATCACGTACTTAGCAATGATATAACAGTTGTTACTACACATAAATCAACTACTTTACGATGATATAACAGTTGATACTATACATACATCACGTACTTAACGATAATATAACAGTTGATACTACACAGAACTCACGTACTTAACGATAATATAACAGTTGATACTACACATAAATCACGTACTTAACAATAATATAACAGTTGTTACTACACATAAATCAACTACTTAACGATGATATAACAGTTGATACTACACATAAATCACGTACTTAACAATAATATAACAGTTGTTACTACACATAAATCAACTACTTAACGATGATATAACAGTTGATACTACACATAAATCACGTACTTAACAATAATATAACAGTTGTTACTACACATAAATCAACTACTTAACGATGATATAACAGTTGATACTACACATAAATCACGTACTTAACAATAATATAACAGTTGTTACTACACATAAATCAACTACTTAACGATGATATAACAGTTGATACTATACATAAATCACGTACTTAACGATGATATAACAGTTGATAAAACACATAAATCACGTACTTAACGATGATATAACAGTTGATAAAACACATAAATCACGTACTTAACGATGACACCACAGTGTATACTAAACATACATCACTTTCTTAGCGATGATATAACAGTTGATACTACACATATATCACGTACTTAGCGATGATATAACAGTTGTTACTACACATGAATCACGTACTTAACGATGATATAGCAGTTGATACCACACATATATCGCGTACTTAACGATGATATAACAGTTGATACTACACATATATCAAGTACTTAGCGATGATATCACCTTTATTACTCGCATAAATCACGTACTTAACGATGACACCACAGTGTATACTACACATACATCACGTACTTAACGATGCTATAACAGTTGATACTACATATACATCACGTACTTAACGATGATATAACAATTGTTACTAAACATAAATCAACTACTTAACGATGATATTACAGTTGATAATACAAATAAATCACGTACTTAGCGATGATATAACAGTTGATACTACACAGAACTCACGTACTTAACGATGATATAACAGTTGATACTACACAGAACTCACCTACTTAACGATAATATAACAGTTGATACCACACATATATCACGTACTTAGCGATGATATAACAGTTGTTACTACACATAAATCACGTAATTAACGATGATATAACAGTTGATACTTAACATAAATCAACTACTTAACGATAATATAACAGTTGATACTATACATAAATCACGTACTAAACCATGATACCACAGTTGATAAAACACATAAATCACGTACTTAGCGATGATATAACAGTTGTTCCTACACATAAATCACGTACTTAACGATGATATAACAGTTGATACTACACATATATCACGTACTTAGCGATGATATAACAGTTGTTACTACACATGAATCACGTACTTAGCGATGATATAACAGTTGATACTATACATACATCACGTACTTATTAATGATATAACAGTTGATTCTACACACACATCACGTAATTAACGATAATATAACAGTTGATACTATACATAAATCACGTACTTAACGATGATACTACAGTGTATACTACACATAAATCACGTACTTAGCGATGATATAACAGCTGATACTATACATAAATCACGTACTTAGCGATGCTATAACAGTTGATACTACACATAAATCACGTACTTACCGATGATACTACAGTGTATACTACACATAAATCACGTACTTAGCGATGATATAACAGTTGATACTACACATAAATCACGTACTTAACGATGATACTACAGTGTATACTACACATAAATCACGTAATTACCGATGATATAACAGTTGATACTACACATATATCACATACTTAACGATGACACCACAGTGTATACTACACATACATCACGTACTTAACGATGATATAACAGCTGATAATATACATAAATCACGTACTTAGCGATGATATAACAGTTGAAACTACACATAAATCAACTACTTAACGATGATATAACAGTTGATACTACACAGAAATCACATACTAAACCATGATACGACAGTAAGGGTTAGGGTTGCGTTGACCTCGATACATTTTTATGGGTATTTTTATTTCTGGGACGAGTTGTATTCAACTTTTCTTTATTCAGTGTGTCAAAATTTTATAAACTTTGGGCATAAACACTTATAATGTTTTTTCCAAATGCATCTACTTCAAGCTTAAATTTCACAATATTTTATCATTTAAGGGCTTCTCCGATATAGTTACAGGACGATTAACATACTGAGATGGCCGATCAGGGTGAGCAATGCGAGAAGTCTTGTATTCTACATAACATCTTAGACGTCCTGATAGGAAGCCGGCAGAGTGTCGCTATCAGGAGGGAGCTAATACTTATCTGTGAGTTGATACAGAATGGCAATAAAGGGCCGCTGGATGTATTCCAAACAGGAAGTAGAACAGAGGGACTGATCATGAAAGGTTCCGATATGGACTTGATGTTTATTGATAAAAGAGCGAGGGTAACGTTTCCCGGTCAGGGCGGATATATTCCACCAGATTCCACCGTTTTAGTGGCAAGGAGGGCTGACTGCAGACCTGGTTATGTTTCTCTTGAGCTTGCAAAACTAGGACAGTTCAACGGTCACGATTTCTTGGAATCTATCGTTTCTGTGAGGGATGCACATTTCATATCAAGTGAAATTTTTAATCGCTCAAAAGAAGAAAGAGCACAAAAAAGTCTCGAGCTAAACATGGAATCTCATGGGCCAGCTACTACACTTAACAATCTACACAGCAACTATGGGAGTGATGTGGATTTTGCGTATTCATTCCCTTGCAACAGTTGGCCAAAGGAAGCCATTGAGTGGGTGAGTAGACCTCGTTTCTATGGTTGGCCATCTGAAGTTTTGAGGGAAGAGATCGTAAAAGGTGGATGCCATGTTGTCCCTGTAGGGGACAAAACAGCAGCAGACACATTTCTCCAATGGAGGATATCATTTACGACAGCGGAAAGAAAACTCGTTCATTCTTTCAATCATGTCCAATTTTTAGTATACGGACTTCTCAAATACTTACTCAAACAAATTTCTAGCATGTTTCAACAGATAATGGGAGATGGTGACATCATATCATCCTATATCATGAAAACACTTATGTTTTACACAATAGAAAATACACCCCATTCATTGTGGCAAGAACAAAACACTTTTCTTTGTTTTATGATTTGCTTCAAGACGATGATAACATTGGTGAAAGCAGGATATTGGCCTAATTACTTTATCACCAGAAACAATATGTTCCTTGGGAAAGTTCACGGTGAAAATCAACACAAGCTGCTATGTTTTCTTGTTGAACTCTACTCTATGAAATGGAAGTGTCTTTCGGTGGGAACTGTTATACAACCATCTATAGGAGAGTCTATGCAAAAAGTTTTAAATGGCGCAAGGGGAGAATGGATACTCCCACCAAATTACCCCGAAGTTGAAAACGATTTGAAGGTATTCGAACATACCTTTGCATATGTCACTTGTTCTGCAAAACTCAACGTATCATTGAAACTACTGTCTAAATCAAAGTCAGACATGGAGGAATTCATAGCTTACTTCCATACCACGAACGCACTGTCTCATACAGGAGTGAACATTTTTGGGAAACACATCGCTGGTAAAGGAAACAAAGAGAAGTACAAAATTCTTAGGAAATCTAAAAACTTCTTGAAACCACAAGCGTCGGTGTGTAGAAGTCCAGGACTATTAGTGTTGGCAACATATCATTACCAGACAGGAAACTACAGGAAAGCATTAGAAATGTGTGGGAATGTGATTTCGTCATTCAACATGTTTGTTGTTGGAAACATCAATTACAGAAACATAGACGAGTATGGACGCCTTTTCAGTGGACGTGGATACACTCTATTATACAAGTGTATGAAGGCATGTGCATCTATTGTCTACTTCAGAAAACCTGCTTCATTGTTTTGTCCATCACAGTTGCACCCTGAGTTAACAAAAGATTGTCTGAGGATACCTCCACTTCCCTATGCCGTATTTCTGTCCGTCCTGTGTTATCATGAACTTTGGGACACCAGGAGACGTGACACGGCAATGGCTCAACTTGAGACAGTAAAATATGACAAGGAACAGGGAGGTGGAGAATACTGGATTGTCCATAATCTCTTAGGGATCTGCTATGAGATGGTCGGAGACACACGCAGGGCTACCAGGGAATACAAGGACTCCCTCAGTGCTTCGAAAGTAGATCAGCGCCGAAATCCAGCCATGCAAAGAAAAGAAAGCTTACAATATTTGAGATAAGGACCTAAACAGAATCTTACTAAATACATAGGTGTAGTGACCTGTTCGTGTCTTACGGGCATCTTTCATGATACAAGGTTGTTAGACGCTGCTGGTAGAATACTGAACCCCGAGATTTGTCGTAACCTAGTGGGCTAATATTATCTCTTCTGAGTAGTGACAGAGTTAATTATATACACACGTTACATATTAGTAATTTTAAATCAGCCGGTATTCATCTTACTCTTAAAATTCATACAATCAAGGCGTTTATGCAACTCCGCTTCTCTTTAGACTAATTTGTATTTTCACCTTTTGGTCTCTAGAATTACCTAGAAGGACGAGACAGCTGTACGGTGAGGTGTAAATAATTCATTTATGGCAGGTAGTATCAAGTATAACATTTTACAGCTGTACGGTGAGGTGTAAATAATTCATTTCTGGCAGGTAGTATCAAGTATAACATTTTACAGGTACGTTCACATGTGTGGGTCTTACGTTCACCTTTTAAAATACAAAATGTTATCCTCTGCCTGGTTGATTTTTTAGTTCCCGAGGTATGCCGTTACCTTGATGGCCAAAGTGATGTATTTCGGTTAGTGCCAGGGTTCATAGTACAATGTATACAAACTCTACTTCTCATTTATTTGAAATCAACCATTACTTATCTCATTTTGAAATGCAAATAATTAATGCTTTTTGCAACCCTCCCCTCAACAATAGTTGGCGCCTAGCAACAATAGAAAGATTAAACAGCCCTGCCCTATGGTATATATAGGTGCAATATCATGCGTGTGACTCACGTTCATCTTTATTGTATGCAGTCGTTTTATGTCGGTAGCGATATGTTGATTTCGAACACTACTGTTTGTGTATCGTGTTTAATATTAGGGCGATCACAGGAACATCACTTTACACGGAGTACATAAACTAGGAAACCTAAGTCACATCTCTAAACTACATTAGTTAATTCCTTCCAAACACTTAAACAGTACATTGAGATGTTATGCTTTTTGTTAATATTGCAGGACCTGTCTGTTTGTAAGAACATGGTGTTACTGAACTTTTCATGTAAGAACCCAGTGTTACTGAACTATTTATGTAAATACATGGTGTTACTGGACTATTTATAGAAATACATGGTGTTACTGAACTATTTATGTAAATACATGGTGTTACTGAAATATTTATGTAAGTACATGTTGTTACTGAACTATCTATGTAAATACATGGTGTTACTGAAATATTTATGTAAATGCATGGTGTTACTGAACTATCTATGTATTTACATGGTGTTACTGGACTATTTATAGAGGTACATGGTGTTACTGAACTATCTATTTAAATACATGGTGTTACTGAACTATTTATGTAAATACATGGTGTTACTGAAATATTTATGTAAGTACATGTTGTTACTGAACTATCTATGTAAATACATGGTGTTACTGAAATATTTATGTAAATGCATGGTGTTACTGAACTATCTATGTATTTACATGGTGTTACTGGACTATTTATAGAGGTACATGGTGTTACTGAACTATCTATTTAAATACATGGTTTTACTGAACTATTTATGTAAATACATGGTGTTACTGAAATATTTATGTAAGTACATGTTGTTACTGAAATATTTATGTAAATACATGGTGTTCCTGAACTATTTATATAAATACAAGGTGTTACTGAACTAACTATGTAAATACATGGTGTTACTGAACTATTTATGAAAATGCATGGTGTTACTGAACTATCTATGTATTTACATGGTGTTACTGGACTATTCATAGAGGTACATGGTGTTACTGAACTATCTATTTAAATACATGGTGTTACTGAACTATTTATGTAAATATATGGTGTTACTGAAATATTTATGTAAGTACATGTTGTTACTGAACTATTTATGTAAATACAAGGTGTTACTGAACTAACTATGTAAATACATGGTGTTACTGAACTATTTATATAAATGCATGGTGTTACTGAACTATCTACGTATTTACATGGTGTTACTGCACTATTTATAGAGGTACATGGTGTTACTGAACTATTTATGTAAATACAAGGTGTTACTGAAATATTTATGTAAATACATGGTGTTACTGAACTATTTATGTAAATACATGGTGTTACTGAACTATTTATATAAAAACATGGTGTTACTGGACTATTTATGTAAGTAAATGGTGTTACTGGACTATTTATATAAATACATGGTGTAACTGGACTATCTATGTAAATACATGGTGTTACTGGACTATTTATAGAGGTACATGGTGTTACTGAACTATTTATGTAAATGCATGGTGTTACTGAACTATCTACGTATTTACATGGTGTTACTGCACTATTTATAGAGGTACATGGTGTTACTGAACTACTTATGTAAATACAAGGTGTTACTAAAATATTTATATAAATACATGGTGTTACTGAACTATTAATCTAAATACATGGTGTTACTGAACTATTTATGTAAGTACATGGTGTTACTGGACTATTTATAGAGGTACATGGTGTTACTGAACTACTTATGTAAATACAAGGTGTTACTAAAATATTTATATAAATACATGGTGTTACTGAACTATTAATGTAAATACATGGTGTTACTGAACTATTTATGTAAATTCATGGTGTTACTGAACTATCTATGTATTTACATGGTGTTACTTAACTATTTATGTAAACACATTGTGTTACTGAACTATTTATATAAATACATGTTGTTACTGAACTATCTATGTAAGTACATGGTGTTACTGGACTATTTATGTAAATACATGGTGTTACTGAACTATTTATGTAAATATATGGTGTTACTGAAATATTTATGTAAGTACATGTTGTTACTGAACTACTTATGTATTTACATGGTGTTACTGAACTATTTATAGAGGTACATGGGGTTACTGGACTATTTATGTAAGAACATGGTGTAACTGGACTATTTATATAAATAAATGGTGTTACTGGACTATTTATGTAAATACATAGTTTTATTGGACTATTTATGTAAGTACATGGCGTTACTGGACTATTTATAGAGGTACATGGTGTTACTGAACTATTTATGTAAATATATGGTGTTACTGAAATATTTATGTAAGTACATGTTGTTACTGAACTACTTATGTATTTACATGGTGTTACTGAACTATTTATAGAGGTACATGGGGTTACTGGACTATTTATGTAAGAACATGGTGTAACTGGACTATTTATATAAATAAATGGTGTTACTGGACTATTTATGTAAATACATAGTTTTATTGGACTATTTATGTAAGTACATGGTGTTACTGAACTATTTATGCAAGTACATGGTGTTACTGGACTATTTATGTAAATACATGTTGTTACTGGACTATTTATGTAAGTACATGGTGTTACTGAACTATTTATGCAAGTACATGGTGTTACTGGACTATTTATGTAAATACATAGTTTTATTGGACTATTTATGTAAGTACATGGCGTTACTGGACTATTTATAGAGGTACATGGTGTTACTGAACTATTTATGTAAATGCATGGTGTTACTGAACTATCTACGTATTTACATGGTGTTACTGCACTATTTATAGAGGTACATGGTGTTACTGAACTATTTATGTAAATGCATGGTGTTACTGAACTATCTACGTATTTACATGGTGTTACTGCACTATTTATAGAGGTACATGGTGTTACTGAACTATTTATGTAAATGCATGGTGTTACTGAACTATCTACGTATTTACATGGTGTTACTGCACTATTTATAGAGGTACATGGTGTTACTGAACTACTTATGTAAATACAAGGTGTTACTAAAATATTTATATAAATACATGGTGTTACTGAACTATTAATCTAAATACATGGTGTTACTGAACTATTTATGTAAACACATTGTGTTACTGAACTATTTATATAAACACATGGTGTTACTGGACTATTTATGTAAGTAAATGGTGTTACTGGACTATTTATATAAATACATGGTGTAACTGGACTATCTATGTAAATACATGGTGTTACTGGACTATTTATAGAGGTACATGGTGTTACTGAACTATTTATGTAAATAAATGGTGTTACCGAAATATTTATGTAAGTACATGGTGTTACTGAATTATTTATGTAAATACATGGTGTTACTGAAATATTTATGTAAGTACATGTTGTTACTGAACTACTTATGTATTTACATGGTGTTACTGAACTATTTAGAGAGGTACATGGGGTTACTGGACTATTTATGTAAGAACATGGTGTAACTGGACTATTTATATAAATAAATGGTGTTACTGGACTATTTATGTAAATACATAGTTTTATTGGACTATTTATGTAAGTACATGGCGTTACTGGACTATTTATAGAGGTACATGGTGTTACTGAACTACTTATGTAAATACAAGGTGTTACTAAAATATTTATATAAATACATGGTGTTACTGAACTATTAATCTAAATACATGGTGTTACTGAACTATTTATGTAAGTACATGTTGTTACTGGACTATTTATGTAAGTACATGGTGTTACTGGACTATTTATAGAGGTACATGGTGTTACTGAACTACTTATGTAAATACAAGGTGTTACTAAAATATTTATATAAATACATGGTGTTACTGAACTATTAATGTAAATACATGGTGTTACTGAACTATTTATGTAAATGCATGGTGTTACTGAACTATCTACGTATTTACATGGTGTTACTGCACTATTTATAGAGGTACATGGTGTTACTGAACTATTTATGTAAATGCATGGTGTTACTGAACTATCTACGTATTTACATGGTGTTACTGCACTATTTATAGAGGTACATGGTGTTACTGAACTATTTATGTAAATATATGGTGTTACTGAAATATTTATGTAAGTACATGTTGTTACTGAACTACTTATGTATTTACATGGTGTTACTGAACTATTTAGAGAGGTACATGGGGTTACTGGACTATTTATGTAAGTACATGGTGTAACTGGACTATTTATATAAATAAATGGTGTTACTG